TCTAGTTCTTACAAATATTTTAGCAGAGATAAATAGTATAATCTTGATTTTTTTTTGGAAGATGCACTGAGAAACTTTCTGCAAGAATAGTAATGAGAAACTTATCGAATTAGTTTGATGTCTTTTTTTTAAAGACGGAATTCGAAGCATCTTGTGATGATGAACTAATCCTATAATTCTGATAGAAGTAAAGATGAAAATAAGGTTAAAAAATAGTCTTCTCCTTATTTCAAACGAAACTGTTAATGATCTTATTCTTTACTTTTCAAAAACAATTGAAATAAAATAGTAGAAAAGTCATGAATATTCATGAAATTAAGCTGACAAAAACAAGAAATCAAGTATTTCATTATACAGATAACTTATTTGTAGTACATTCAACAAGAAAATTCCAATTCCAACTGTAGTAAGCCATATAAAAAATTACGAAAAGCTACTGAATTGAGCAAATACAATAGGCTTATGATTCGTCTTTAACGAGCATTCTTGCACAAATGAATGTATCGAACAATCATAATCTGTATTATATGAAGATTTAGATGACGATGAAATGATTTCATCACCAAGAAAGTGTACAAATATATCGGAAGTGCCTATAAAGAATAGCACTATGAGTAATTTTGAAATTTCTTCTATATTATTCCATTGACTAAAACACTTCTTTTATCAAAAGAAAGTGCTTAAAATTCTCGATAAAGACAGAAACGATTGGATTCAAAAATTGTTTTCGACATATTTGGTAAAAGATAAAAATGAAAGATTTAGAAACAATTATAAAAAGTAAATATGAACAATGATGATGGATCAGCATAAGCTATTGCAGTTTGAGCAGAGTGGTATCCTAAGCGGATAATTAGATTATGGATAAAAATGACGGAAAGCACCGGCTCTATCAATCTCTTATACTCTCTTGGTCGTTCATACACAGCTCGTATAAAGGCTAATATCTTGAAGGCAGATTATAGCCTATGGCATGAATTTGCTGAAGACGTGAGTTGGAACCATGTAAGAACAAAATGGCAACATTGATAGACAAAATAGCACGTTCAGTCAAAAAAATTGAAAAAGAAAAAATTTTGAAGTCTATTTTTAATTTTACAGTAGAATGCCATGTAATTAAAACAAATGAAGGAGATTATATTTATTAAATCAAATGTTCCATTTGGTGTAGAATTTCAAGCACTAATTATTGATAAAAAAATGTTTTAAACAAGGGCGTAGTAGAGGACAATTTCCAAAAATACTAACAACACACTTCTCCATATAAGACACCCGATAGAAATTTTTCATTTCTGTCTCTTTCATCTATACGATTTGCTGAAGATTGACATCTAATTAATAAAAACTCTGATGTTTTCTTCCAATTACTTTGTTGTTTGTCAAAAGAATGCCAAAATCAAGATAATATGTCCACTCTTTCTAGTATACATTATGATCATTGATGGTTTTTTACGTTCAGCAAAAAGTACTCGAAATATTTCTGAACATTGATTGAAATTGTCACCGATCGTCATTAATTGAGAAAGTCAGAAATTACGGTTAATACCTAGTTTATTTAGTATGTAAGAAATGAAGAAACCAGCAGAGACAATATCTTCGTAAGATGAAAGAAGAAAGAGCCGAGATGAATAAGAACAAACGAGAGATAACAGGTAAGATTACACGTATATATATATATATGTATGGGCAGTGACATACTGGAATATTCAATAGAACAAAAAGGAATATGCATAGTGAATGAACAGAAATACAATGACAAAGAAAACTTCAACATACACTTAAATATTGATACGATAAATCACCAGTGTTATTTGTCAGTACATCACAGTAATAGTATAAAAAAATTAATTAATAAAATAATCTGATTCGTGAATAAACACTAAAAAAAGTGCTTAAGAATTGACTGAAGCGTATCAGACACTTCAATCGAAATGTCTTATAAAATAAAACAAACAGATCCACTAAAAGAAGATCATCTCTCAAAATGGATGATTCAATTTTGAACATAAGAAAATTTAATATAGATTTTAAATAAATTTGTTAAATATTTATTTACAAATAAAAATAATTCGACTAGATAATAAAAACTAAAATTCAATTAGTATTATTTGATGTTGTTGCTGCTGCTGCTGCTGCTGCAGCTTTTTCCATTCGTTTAATTAATTGATTTTGTCGATAAAGATGTCGAAGTTGTACATTTCGATCGTTAGCGCATCCTAAACAACAATAAAAGATCAATTAAATAGAAAATTTAAATAAAATATTATAAATTTTACCAAGAAAACTATTTAAACGTAAAGTATTAAGATTAAATGTTTCAACACCGGATTCATCATAATAAACAGGACCATCATTATAAATTAAATCAAAACCTCCAATACGTTTTTCTTTGCCTGTTAAACGTCCTTCCATATCAATAACATTAAGCATATCATCTAAAAGACGTACTTTAAGTTCATTATCTTCTTGATTACTTGCTGTTAATGATGGTGATGCATTTGTTTCAATTAACCAAGGTTTTAAATTTGCATCAAGTAATATATCATAACCATATAATTCAAAACAATGCTTATCATTAATCATTATTTTTTGAACACTTTGAAGACTTTTTATAAATATATCATCCATTTGTTTAAGCATTATATCAACCTTCAATAATAATAATAATAAAATTAATGATTAATTGATTAGAAAATTTAAAACATACAATTTCATGACCATGTTTAGCTATGAGATACTGTCGAACACGACTCATAGACCATTTATAGCCTTAATAATGAAAAAAACAAAGAAATAAATATTTGAAATTTAGAAAATATTTCTTTTACCTTTATCAGGATCATAGTTTGGTGCCGTTTTTTGAATCGCATTATTAGTAATGTGAACATCTTTTGTAAAAAAAAAAAAACAAAATAAAATTGTACTTTTGTTTATTTATTCAGAATAATACTTACAAGTATCTTCAATACTTTCTACTGTATATCGAGTACCAGATAAACGTGCAAAACCTTCGCGATAAAGCCATACTCGTAATGGATTATACTACGAAAATGACAAAAAAAAAAAAAAATAGAAAAATTTTGAAAATATTTCTTCGAATGAGTATTGTGAGATATTTATCTAATATACCCATTGGTAATAAATGGTTAAAATATGTATTTATCGTGAGATTTCTTAAGTTCTATTAATATTATAAATATCACCTTATTTACCTAGACAATTGTCATTGGTATAATGTGAAATTATAATAATAGACCTTTTTTTCTTCTAAAACTTGTTTCTATAACATATTATCATCAAATCATTTGACAATAAGCGTACTCATTTACTTTTGTTGAATATTTTAAAATAAAGAATATCTTATTATAGATTAAAATTTCAATATAACTAATTGTATTTAAATATTTTTTAAGAAAAACTTTGAAGAAATTTTTCAAAACAAAAAATATGCTTGAGTTTAGATATCAATTGTTATCTGTTTTCGTTACTTTTCAACAAGATGAGATGTATTAAAATTGAATCTTTATAAAAATTTCATAATGTTATTTCATCATTTTTTTTTACAATGTTCAACAATTATCTTCGATTTTTTATGCATATATAAAAATCTGAAAATAGAAGTTGACTTACAGATGTAACTAACATATATATACGAATATCAAATTTTTTACCACCAATCAAATATGGATTATCAACATAACGTTGCACCTAAGATATTCTATGTACATATTTGATTATTAAATTAAGATAACTTACAACATATGTTTCAACAGCTTCACGATTTTGTTCTTTATCATATGCTGTCATATATTCACCCTAAATAAAATAAATAAATCATTTGAAAGAAAAATAGAATTTAGTTACTCGTCGCCAAGCTGTGATATCTTGAAGTTTTCGAAAAAGAAAAATTCCTTTTCCTTGAGCACGTGCTGCTGGTTTCATTATCCATGTTGTATCTGGATTTCGTTTAAATTCTTCAACAAATAAATGATATTCAGACTAAATAGAAATTTGCAAATTATTTCTTTCGTAAAGTAAATCAAATAGCATACTGGAAGAACATATGTTGTAGGAAAAAAATCACATTTAAGTGCTTCTAAACGACCTTGTTCTCGTTCGACTTGTTTTCGAAAACGTTTTAAATTTTTAACCATTAAATCTTTACGTGTTAGCTAAAAATATTATCAAATATAAATAAATATGATTTCAATTAGAGATAAATATATAGAATATATACTTCATAATGATTTCTAAAATGATTAATACGCATATGTTCTTCAAAATAACCACGATCAAAAAGATCTTTCATTGAACCAACATCACACCACTAATAGAATAGCAACATTAATATTTTATTTTATTTCATATGATTACTTACATAAAAATCCCATTCTTCATCTCTAAAAAATAATTTAATTCAAATTTTGTTTCAAAATATATTAGTTACTTACTCTCGTGATTCTATCCATCCACGATTTTTAAGAACATCATATATTGTATTTTGTAGAAAACATCGAAAACGAACTGGACGATCTCTATACAAATAAATAACTTATTTCAAAATTAATGTAATATGATCGAGTTATAAACGTATAGATATCAAAAGAAAAATAGTGTGCATTGAAACGAAAGAATTTTTTTTTTGCATGCTAAAATCATGTTTTATAAATGAATTAATTTGAAAATTTTTCAGAATCATTCTGATTTTCGTACTAAAATAACATACGTTATTCCACGACGACGTTCATTACGGCCTTGAAATGTTTTTGTTGCTACAGTTTTAACAGCCATATTATCTTTTCAAATTAATACTCTTTTATCTGATTTTTATCTAAAAAAAAAACTATAGCAATATCGTTAATGATTATCTGATGCAAAAGATTAGTTATACTAAACACTAAGACAATACAAAAATTAAAAGATTTACTACTGTAAATATGAGCACATCATAAAATCAGAAGTATTTATAGTGGAACAAAAATTGAGACTTATTGTGTAGATTAAGATGAAAGTTGTAATTTTGCTGTATGTAATTCTCGTTTAACTGAATCGATCATAATTTGAAATCTAAAAAAAAACAAAAAGATTTAAATTTATGAAAATTTCCAAGCAAAATACAAAGTCAATTAAAATTGATATTCATTAGAAAATGCAAGTGTATTCAATACTTCATTATATATATACAGTGTAAGATTTTAGTAATAAAAAAAATTTGTTAGTATTTTATTATCCAGACTAGGATTTGATTTTATCTCTGTTAATTTCGAATTCTCATTAGTTGATCAATTAAAATAGAAAATCTCAAGCTCAATTAGTAGAATATATACTTTAAGTTATGTTAATATTCATTGTTTTTTTTTTTTTTTTGAAGATCTAATTATAGCTTTTCGACAAAGTAAAGAAATTCTTTGTTCGATAGCTGTGAAAGGAATATTAACAAATGATGAATAAGTCACCAAATTTAATCATGAAAATAAAATTAGTTTTGTGTCATAATAAACATGCAAATGCATGAACTTTCTGTACTGATTTTAACTGTTTATTCCAACTCGATTATATTCTGTGAAGTCATTTCATACCAATAGATATAAACAGTCAGCGAAATCCATATAGAATCTTTCTTTTGACTTCAGCAGATATAAGCAAAACGACTGCCATAAGACTCTGTGATTGATGAAACATTGCCAAATATTGATAGAGAAGAATGATCATTTAATTAGATACCAAAACATTGTCAGTGAGACTATGTTTAAATAATAGATAAATAAAAGTCTAGTTAGAAATCAAATTGAATTCATTTTTTGAATCAAATCCGAGTCGAAATCTGATAATTAGTTTAGAGACACGCACATAATTCTATAAGTATGAATAATATTGAATATCTTACTGTCGATATCGATCATCAATACGATCACGTTCATCCTATGTAAAATAAAAATTTACGATATTTTTATAGAATTAGAAAAAATAAACCTCAGTTAATATATGATGTTTATTATATTCGACTTGTTTATATTCATTCGATGTATTTAAAGTTTCTCGTTCACAAACTTGATGATTATTAGTAATTTCATTAATAATAATTTCTCGTTTTGCTAATTCAGATGCAAAATATTTTCGATCAGATTCACAATCAAGTAATGCATTATCAAGATCTTGACGAAGTTTTTTTTCTTCTTGTTGATGAATTTCTAATTCTTGTTTAAGCCAACTAAGATGAGCCTTTTTGTTTTTCAAAATAAGAAGGAAAAAAAAACAAAGTCAAATTTTAGCGGTTATTTTTTTTTTTGTTTTACTTTAAATTTACTCAACCAAACTTCAATATCATCACGAGATATTGTTGCAGATTCGATAATAACAAATGGTTCATTAGAATCATTTGATAAACATTCTGTACAATAGATTATTTCATTGTAAATAGTTTGAAAAGAATTCTAAATCGATAACTTATTTACTTTTCAAGATAAAAATTATCCTTATATTTACTTGATAATCGTTTTCTTTTTTTATAATTTGATTTCTTTGATGTGTTGTTTCAACAGTCAATTTGTTAATTCTATGAATAGATAATATTTTTATTTTGTTAGTAAATAAAACTTTAATGCATACTTTGATTCTAATTCATCGATCAATCTAGCCTTAAAAAAAAGCATACACAACAATATATAAATTAATCTATATCAAATTTTTTATAATAAAAGAAAATATTTTAATCGAATTATCAATATATAGAAGGATAAGAATATTTGTTCTTTATCTCATTCATTACTGAATAAGAAGTAGATTTATGCAAGTTATCGAAGAATTCAAGCTCGTAGCATCATATCTGGTTGCATCTTTCAAAAACTTGCAATCAATCGACTTATATTGCTTAATATAGAACTATGAAACTACCAAGACTGACGAGGGAACCACCTCAATTGATGCTTACCGCTTGAATTTATATTCAGCTTATAAGAACACCTTGGTGAGACTAACAAAAGTCTACAAAAATTCGTTTTGATGAGCAATTGGAGCCCAGTTGGAGTCATTTAACTAAATTTTCGATCTAGATTTAAGTATGTGTCGTGAAGTATAGCACTTTATTCGCACTTCGAAGCACCGATGTTTGGATTTTCTCTCATGTCAAGAGCCACTACTTATTCGTTAAAATTCAACCTAGAAAAATGATTAATAACAATAGACTTGTGTATTTTTAAATAATAACATTGAACAAGAACGGATGTGGATGTTGATCTTCTTTTAACTCACACTAACATCAACATCCACAACTACACCAAGAATCACATTCGTACCCATATCTTTATATATTTGAACTATCACCTATAAAACACTAATAGTGATTCACTTCTAAAACAGTGCTTAATTATTAAATTGCGAACTGTCAAAGGAAGAAAAAGTTGTCGACGAAATGCGATGATACTAATTTTGATGTCAAAGTTCTCCTTTTTTTTAATTTTTTTGGTATATATGTAAAGCTGAATAGAAAATTCAATAAAATGACCATTACTCAATTCTAAAGAACTCTGTGGACGAACAATTTAATGTTTTTTCTAGTCTTATCGACACTTTCTTCTAACTGCAATATTAACTCAAGCAATGGATATAAGTTTGGGTGATTCCATCATTAACATAAAGATGATCGTAGAGGAATATTGTAGAATTTATATTTTGTCTCATTAAAATAAATAATTACTTTATCATTAATTTCTCTTGATAAAATATCAATAGTAGAGTGTGCTTGAGTTGCTTCATCTTCAAATTTTGCTGCTTTTTCTTGAAGTCTTTCAATTTCTTGTTTATGTTCTAATTCATGTCGTTGTAACATAGCAATTCGTGATGTTTCATCAGATAATTGTAACTAGAAAAATCAAATGATAACAAGAAAATAATTATATTTACGAAATGAATTTTACTTGAAATATTTCAATTTTATTTTCATAATCCATTTGTAATGCTTTCATACCATGTGTATAATCAACTTTAGTTATTTCTAATTTTCTCTAAAAAAAATAATATTGATATTTTATATATATAAAATAGATTTATTTCAACAAACTTTAATATCTTCATAATCATTTTCTAATGAAATAAATTTTGTTTTTTCTTTTGATAATGACTCTTTTTCAAATTCTATTTCTTTAATTTTTTGTAATAAATTCTAAAATTAAAATGTCATCCTTTTGTTTTTAAATAAAACGAATATAAGAGAAATAGTTTCTACTATTCGTTCATTTTCAAGTTCGATAATTTGTTGTTGCAATTGAGAACGAGATATATTTATTGTTTCAATATCTTTCTAAAATATGAAATAATTAATTTTTCCTTTAAATTAGAAGAAAAAAATTCGAACTTCAGATTGTTTTAATTTTAAATCAAGATTATTTCGATGATTGATTTCTTCTTGTAATAATTGATGAAGATTCTGTTTTTCTTTATCAATTTTTAACTGACATTGTCGTTGAATAGAGAGTTGCTTTTCAAACTTTAAATGCAAAAAAAATAATAATAAAAGAGTTTATCCATGTTTTATATTTGGAATGATTTCTTTTCAACTTCAGATTCAAATTCATTTGACAATCGCTAAAAAAAAACTTCCTCTACTCAAAGATAAGTGAAATTTTAACATAGAATCTTATATTCTCATTATTCGACTTGATAGAACCGTGCCGAAATCATATAAAAATAGTTTATTTTAACAGCAGGTTTCTGCATTTGCTCACGAGGTAACGTCTACAGGCGTCCGATCCCTTTTTCAATCGAAACGATGTTTATTAGATGAGTACTAGTGAGTAATAGAAAAGCCTGAAATGTTTTGACTTCTCGGACCTTTGTTCTTAGGATATCAAAATTTTACTGCTTTTTTTTGTTAAGAAAAAACTGTGATCACGTGGAAACTTGACTTCGAACTTTGTACGAACAAAATTCTCAATGAAATAAGTTTATTGAGGAAGTGATAAATTTTCTAGTATCTCTTATTCTAAGATGCAGAACATTCAGAATTTCCTTCTGTATAAAACCAAATTTTCTTTATATATTTACACATCTAGAAGGAAAATACTAGTTCCATAATCAGCCAATCTCATTAGGAACTTTTATGGTAGAAGTCTTCTTTCTATTATACATGTACAGATAAAAGCAAATGACTTTTTTTTATATAGAACTAATTTGAGAATTGATTTAGGCGTAGTATCAGCGTTATAGATAGGAATTAAGCTTAAATTAATAACTGTTGTTATTATACAAATAATAGATTGATCGGAATACAAAACAAACGAAACATTTTCTGACATGATTGAATTGACAGTAATAAAAGACACATCCATAAAGATCTTCTAGTACAAGAACCTTCCGAAGTTAAGACGAGACTCTTTGTCATCAACTAGAGTCTACTGAGAACAAGCAAAATTAATAACGGTTTGTCTTCTTGTTGCATTCCTCTCGATTAATAGTAATTTTATGATAATAAATCTTACTTCATAGATTGTTTCTTTTAACGTTGTAATTTCAACTTCTTGTGATGCACGAATTGCACGAAGTTGAATAATCTATTAAATATTCTTAAAATTATTTAAATTAAAAATATTTTTTCGTTACATTATTTTCATTTCGTTTAAATTGTTCTTCTAATTGATTATAATTTGTCTAAAATAAATAATTGAAAATTCTGAAAATTATTAATATATACAAACATTGACTAAATTTAGATCAGTTTCAAATTTTGTAACTTGTTCTCGTAAAATTAATTCTTGTGATTTAAAAGTATTGATTTCTTTAATTAATTGTTCATTTTTTTCTAACATTTGTGTTGAATCAAGTTTATAACGTTCTATATCTTTTTCAAATTTTTTTACTCGAGCTTTCCATCTAAATAAAATTATATTTTATTATAGAATGTCAAAAAAATATATTATATTACTGTTTAATTGTTTCTTCTGCTTGAATTTGAAATTCTTCTCGTTTTTGTTCAGAATCTGCTAATTGTTTTTGAGAATTTGTTGATTCTTTTGCAAATTGTTCAGCTTCTTCAGTCATTTCTTCTAATTTTTCTAATGCTAATGTTAAATCATATTGTAATTTAGTATTTTGTCGTTCAAATGTATCACAATTTTCTGTTACGTCTTTTAATTCAAGTAATGTTTTTGATATAAGTTTGTCTTTTTCATCACATATATTAATTAATGACTAAATTTATTTATGAAATAATAAATAAATAATTTTAAAAACTAAAATAAAAAATAAACCTCTAATTCATCGGAAAGTCCTTCACGTTGTCGTTCACTTTTTTCAAGTTCTCTTTTAAAATTAAGCATTTCATTGAATGTTGCTGATTTTGAAAGCATTGTTTGTTGTTTCATAAGATATTCATTTTCCATTTGAACATGATCATGTTCTATTAATTAAGAAGTTATTTTAGATTATTAAGATAATATCCATCAGTTAAAAGATATATATATATATATATAATATCCCACGAAAGATGCTAGAATTTACTGTTTTTTGGGACTTTAATATCTCAGGAATAAAACATTCTTTTGAGCTGAAATTTTCAGGATATTCTACTCACAAATAGATCTATCTGTGGACAAAATCTCAGGTCGAAATACAGTCATTCGATTTATCGGTATATACCATGCCAAAGGCTAAAATTTCAGTAAAATGCCTATAACTCTAGACAGAAGGCCTAAGGGCACTTATTCTTCTGGGGTTTTTCATACATCACTGGGATCTATCTTATGCATAGAGTCCGAACTCAAAAACGATGGGACACTTGGAAATGTTCCCTCGTTAGATCTTCTCTAAATCTTATTTACATAAGAGTACAATTGATCGTTTTTTTTCAAAAAATAAATTTCAATGCCAAAAATGAAATCCTTAACAGTTAATCAAATTTAACGAACTCTCAAAGAATTTATCTTTTCATAATAATAATAAAAATCTAACCTGTTCTTGATCGTCGATTTAATAACGAAGATAATTCTTCAGTACTTTGTATTTGTTTCTCATTTACTATTTCATTTCTCATTAATTGGTTTTTAAATTGTGTTACCTAAATTATATATATATATAAACCATATAAATAAAAAAAAATTAAGTCTATAGAAATTTAAACACATTTTTTGTTCAAAATAATACATACATTTTCACGAATTGATTTAGCACAATCGAGTAAAGTTGCTGAATTCTAAAATAATGTTCAATTAAATTTTTAGAAAAATTCTAATCAACTTTATATACTTGTTGTGTAAATAAAGTTTTATTTATTTCATTTTCTTCTAATTGTCGTTTCGTATTTTGTAATGGAAATTCATACTAAATATTATAAATCGTATATTGATAAGAATTAAAGAGATATATAAAGAAATACTATTTGTTTATTAAATGTATGACGTGTTTGAAAAATTTTACTACCATCATTATGTATTGATGTTGTTAATTTTTGTTGTTGTTGTTCTTCTCTATGTCGTTTTATGTCATTTTCTATTTCTTGTAAACGTCGATCGTGACGTGAATGAGTAATCTGTGAAATATATTGAGAAGAAACTATCTATCTTTGTTGAAAATCACAGAATATTATAAGGACTATGAGATCTATTTCTAAATAAAATTTCAAATAAAAATTACTTGATTCAAATTTCCTTGTAAGACTGAAACGTAAGTAAATTGATTATAATTCAAGAAGAAAGCAGTAATGATATATATATTGTTAGGGTTCTTATCTAAACTTTGGATCGTAATTATCGTGGAGACACCAATTTCCACTCCGTGATATTTCTATCCTAATGTATTTTTCTCTCTTCAATTTTTTTCCGTTCTCCACTCAAATATGGATTTTTTCATTTCGTATTCTTCTTGTCACCTGATGTTTTCATTTTGCTCTCATCATTCTTATTGGATTTTTCTTATCTTGTTTATCATCTGTCCACCTATATATATATATACAGAATGTTACTTCACAATAGAAGACATTCCGATCAGAGAATCAACTTCTTCTGTCTACCGGGTTAGCCTCTCAAGGAGTTCACATTCTTTATACTAACAATCAGCAAAATATGATTTCGACGAAATTTATTAGTTGGACAAATTCTTTTGTAAGTCATCAACGTTTATTCTATATGGTTTTATGATCTATGTCAACATAGGATACTGTATTCGACAGCTTCAAAAATTTTTCAATAGATTTCGTCTTGTAACTTATCATCAGATGGAAAAATTTAAGTTGAAAGCAAGTACTTGATTGAAAGTGCGAACGATCAGCTGAGGATGTCGACTGACTCTTGATATGTATTATCAATAGATAAATCTAGTGATTTAAAAATGTCCCAATACACCCTTACTGTAATGTTAAATCAATAAGCGTCAACGATAAACTGTTTAGTAGATAAACTTATGTATGTGTATATACAAAGCACATAGGCCGAATGTTAAGATTCAATTACAAGAACGAATGAATTGAGAAAATGATGATCCATTTCTAGGATTTTCACTTTGCTATTGATGCATGTTAGACTAACGCATCATTTTTATACTAGAAGAGGCCTACTTCGATTCCATACTAAAAACACTTTTAATACAAGTATTCCCGTAGATTCTAGTATGAAATCCGATGAAATGTCATCAACAACTGCTCTAACACATCTCTAATACTCAGTGGATGTTTTCCTTGTGAATTCTGTAATATGACATCAAGGTTAAACACTGTTTTTCTTAGAATTGCATCGTATAAGATTAACTTCTCTGCTTTCAATCTTAAATACCTTTAAGCATTATATTATTTCATAAAATTTTGAATGATCTTACCTCTTGAACAATTGAATCGTGTTTTGATGAAATCATTGAATCGATAGAATTTCTATTACTTCTAAAACCCGAATTTATAATATTAAATCTTTTCAAAAACTTACAATGATTGTTTTGTTGTTTTACTAGTTTCATGTTCATTTGATAATATCGATTGTTTGCTATCATTATTATTGAAACGATCACCTTTATTTCTTTGTATTGTTGATTTACTACTATTATTTCTAAACTAAAAATTTTCCCCCCAAAAAATAACGAACGTTTTTCTTTTTCAAAAAGCTAAAAAGAAAAAAACCAAATTTTACTTTATCTACTAAAGATGTTGTTTGTTTAAATGATTCAAAATTTTGTTGAACATTTCGTATATTATCTTCTGTATTCTAAATTACAAAAAAAAAAAAAACATAATAATGTTTTCTTTCAAAAGGAAGAAAAAAAAAACTTTAATTTTACAATTAATACAGAATTTAGTTGTCGAATTTTTTCATTATTTAGATTTGGTAATTGTCGTTTAGTTGTTAAACTCATTTTTAACTTTTCTTTAATCGTTTATTCATTTTATTCATGAATATTCTATCGTTACTAAGAAATATTCTTCATTATATTAATTAAATCATTTTAAATGAAAAATTTAAAATAAAAAAAAATTTCTTTATGTTTATTTCTCATTTTATTTCGATTAAAATTTTAGAAAAAATTTAATTTATTCAACATAGATGTCATTTATTCTTGAATCTTATTGGTTTTTACAATGTATACGATAGCCAAACATTCCAAGCGAGCGAGAGAGACAAATGCAAAGGAAGCTGAGAACAAAACGTATGTTTGCTCGTTGTTTGTCAATGAAGGAAGAAGGACAAAATTAATTTCTTTATTTTTCAGAAATATGGATGAAGATCCTTTAAAAACTTCATCATTAAATACAATTTTTAATAAACGAATTAATCCAAAACCATTAATCGAATGTTTAGACATTAAATCAATATTTGAAAGACGGAAGAAAAATAAAACATTTATACGAAATGATTCATGTAAAGAACAGAACCTTTTTTTTTAAATATAAAATGATGAAATATTTCTTATGTTTTATTTCTCATTCTTATTAGCACGAAGCCATGATGATCAAATCGATGGTTCACCTGGAAAAGTATGAAGAACAAAAAAAAAAAAGAAAGCATTACAGATATTTGATTACTTATTTTTAAAATAACTAGATTGAAATTGGTCGTTCAACAGTTGACATTCGTGAACCAACACCTGAACATTTAAATGCATTACAACATGCTTTTAATAAAATTCTTAATGAACGTTTATTATCAGATAATAGTTTGATATTACGAAAAATTGTATTTCGTCAATTATGTCAAATTCTCGCGTCACGATCAGGTATATATGATCTAAGAAATCTTTTCGTCAAATCATTATACTTTATCATGATTGAAAAGAATAGAGTTCAGTAAGCTAAAGTTCCAATGACTGAACATGATCTTAAGATAGCCTTTTATTAACTAAATAGTTTAACGTTATATGAGAAAATTGTAGTACATCCGTGTTCTGAAGTCGTCAAAATTAAGGAAAAGATTAATGACTAGTGAGTCGATCAAAAGATTTTTTGTTATAATTGGGGATGGGAAGTAGAGCGGTTTTTTCGAGAAGAGACTGTGACACGTCTTTGAACTCTAAGCCATCGTGTTCACTAACGGAAGAATAATGTTAGATGTCCAAATCCATTTTGATTTATTTTTACATCATTCAATCGATTATATTCAGGTAAGACTCGAATGTGTAATCTACTACTGAAGAGTAATGGTTATTTTGCTGAAATTTTACTTATAAATAGATTTAATAGTTATGGAAGTTTCAACAAAAACAAACATCTCTTTCTCAAGATATTCCATTTCAAAGTAGACGAGACTATTGTGTTCTCTTACCATGAATCATTATGTTTTCGGTAATCGAATATCTCAAGAAAAATATGTAGATTTTCATTGCAATTTTTAAGTCTATCTATTGACAATTAAATATGTTTATAGGCAAAATTTCAATAAAACAGTTGTAATTATTGGTTAATAGGTCATGAATTCGAGTCCTTTGACGATTTGTCTTACTTCAATATAATCTATAGAATTGAATCAAAACAAAAATGAACATCTATGATGATTCCTTCGTAAACTACATATAAGATCGTTTTTTAGTCTAGGATTTTATTTTCTGTATTGTGTCTGATATTATCAAATGAAAAAAAAATTGAATAGAAAACTATCTACAAGATTGGTTTGAAGCGAACATTGTGACATTAAAAGTATTTAGATCAAGTACCCTTCAGTCATATATAATGCCGTACAGTGAATAAAATATGCATGAGAAGCAAAACATACTAATAAGTCTTGCTTCTAGAGATTCGCTTTTTTTTCAATTGATGAATCTAGACACGAAAATCCTGAATTCAACAAGCTACATGTTAACTGATCAAGAATTACTCTGTTAAGATTTTAAAAATTCCTCCTACATTCTTCATACAATTGAAAAAAAATTTTTAATCAAAGTATTAGACTTTGAAATTTTGAACAAGTAGAGCCTATCGAACTAATATAATCATCTTGATGTTTTTTTTAATTAAAATAATTGTTCGATAAAATAAAGTAGAAAATATAAATTTTTTCTTAATAATTGAGATAGCTCGTATTGTTGATCATTTTTATCCATAAATTAATTGCTTGTTGTCAATATAACCTAATAAAACCACGATAGATTTTCAATACATTATCAACAATTTCAATTTTGCTTTTTACATCTGTTTACATATTTCTATTTGTTCATCTTTTTTAAAATATAACTTCAATAATGTTTTAATCGTATTGTACATAATGAGTTTTGAAGAGAACTTCCAAGTCAATCTTTTGATAAAAATATATTATTTCAATAAGTATAAAGAAAGATATATGAAAATGCTAGCTGCTAATTTGTTTTATAGATCAAAAGTTTGAAAATGAATTTCTTTTGTTATTAAATTTTTTTCGTGTTGTAACTTTGCTTTCATTATCTTACAAGTGTAAAAGTAATCAACAATTTATAAATCGAGACTTTCAAATTGTATGATCACTTTCAGAATACCTATTATAGTTTCTGTAGAACACGAGATTGACTGTCAGTTCTATTCTGACCTCAAACTATTAAGTAGACAAAATAATAAATTCTTTCGACTAGTTTTCACTCTATCTACAATAATCAGTAGGTCTTGGTGTAAATATGAATATTTACGATTAATGCAATATTTTAGCTAAGAAATTTTCAAGTTGTAGAGAAGTTAGAAAAAAAAACTCTTATTAGACATGTATAGATATTAGTATGCGGAACGACTTTATTATAGAAGCTTGAACACAATTCAAAGATGAAAACAAGATATGTTATAGTTATCTTGACAGAAATATAAAGTAAACCTTCGATTACGGATTTTTATTATCGAGTTCGATTAGAAATGCATTAATTCCAGTTTTTGACTTAAAATTGGTTCTTGCAGAATTACACATTTTATTTATTTTCACATAAATTAATAATTCCATCCTAGATTTTTTTCTCAAGACGAATTTTAGAGGAGAGACAGTTGCTATTACGTTCCCCGTTTTATTGTCCTTCAAAAATCTAAAATTCATTTTCATATCCAATTTTTAAATTCAAAAGATTGATATATAAAAAAGAAAATTCTTTCACTATAGTTCATTTATTTCACTTTGAATAGATTGTCAAATAAACTTATATGGTTCTATATCATTTGAATGTTGTTTGGAAAAACCTGGTATTATGGATATTGATATACAATTTAAACAAACGCTTCAATATGATACACTTAAAGAACTACTTGAAATTATAACAAAAAGTGGTATGTTATGCTATTTAATTGACAAAAAAGAATATATTGAATTATGTTTTCTATAGATTTATGTAAAGAAGCTCGTATTAATACAGAACATAAACCATCTTGTATTGATTTAATTACTAATGAACCAAATATGCGTGTACGAATAACATCAGGTTATAATCGTGGAATAAATTTATCAAAATTAATTCGAATTTATACAAAATTTGATTCACGAGTTATTAAATTATTTCGATTATTTCGTATACTTTCTAAAGTTTGTTTAGAATTTTATTTTTATTATTTAAGTAATTAATTCATTTACTAGATATGTAATATAGATAAACCAGATTTAGGAACACTTCATCCAATTGTTTTTCATATAATGATTATTCATTTTCTTCAACAAATTGATCCACCTATTTTACCATGTCTACATGAATATGTATGTTTTACTTCATTTTTGTTTTTTCTTCTTTTATTTTTAATTTAAAAAATAAAATAGGTTTTTGGTATTGATCATGTACCAATAACAATGAATGAAAATCAATATCCAGAATTTTTTCGTATTTGTAATGAATATTCACGTGAATGGAAATCAACAAATACAACAGAAATTGAAATGTTATTTTTACAATTACTTTCATATTATCTTAAAACTTTTAATACAAAACAATTTGTTGTTTCCATTCAAACTCGAATGCCAGTTGTTAAAATTGATAAAAATTGGCATAGTAAAAAATTACTTGTTGAAGGTACATTTCAAAAACTTTTCATTTTTAATTATGTTGTCGTCTATTATTGACTAATCGTGTAATTTGTCATGATTATGTTTCGCTTGACTTCATTTTGTCCATATGCGTAATATGGAAATGATGAGTGTATTATGTCCATATAAATAACAAAAAGTGTAGGTGATATATGTGCAATACTTCGTTTTGATGATAATGCGCGAAAACATATGATTTTGAATGTTTAAATGTAAGGTCAACTATTGTAACAAAATGTGTTAAAAAAAACAATTAGAACATGTCATAGACGATTTATAAATATATCCATTGTTCAACTTGTTTTTTTTTTCATATGTTTTTCGCATTGAGAAGAAAATAATTTTTAAAAAAAATTTCGAACGAATAGAAATAAAGGAATAGATAATATTTTCAGAATCGTTTTTTCGAAAAAATGATAAACGTGGCTATTATTTCTAAATGAAAACTCATAGAATTTCGCATACGTACAAATATTTTCTACTTCATGGATTTTTAGCGGAGCATATATCCTTGTCTATTGATAGTCTATTGATGTATTTTTTTTTATTCGAAATCAATAGTTGACCTTATCAGTAATAGAGATGTGCAGGGTAAATTTTTTTCATACTCTATATTTTATTTTGATTTTTACCTAAAATATTTGCTTCAACAATAGTCTATATTTTGTTGATAATTCAACAGTTGCAAAGAGACATATTCGTAAAACATTGTACATGAGTAAGTTCGACTGTGAATACTAATGTGAAAAAGAAAACATCTACAATCTTCGACGAATGCATCTGAATCTAACTAGTGAATCTTCCACCATATGTAGAGATTATACTACAGATAAAAATCAAGACAGATGAAACGTTCTTTTAGTAGTCTCTGTTTTTAATCAAGCAAAAGATTTTATCAATTTA